TTGATTAACAAGACTTAAGCATTTGCTTGAGAAACAACAATAGAAACCTTTACAAGATCGTCCAACATATATTTTTTTAATAGTGCAGGCTCTAATTTACTTGGATTTTAAATTAACAGGCATAGTAATTCAATTAAAATAAGCATCTGTTCCTATAAAATACAGAATAACGGACAAACAAGGTTGATAATCAGTGTCATTCTAGAGCTATTCAAGTACTCCCGAGTTACTGTTCTTGATTATTCACAGCATTTTGAAATATTTCGTCCGCTCTCTTATGATAGCGTTTGTTTTCATGAACTATCGATTAAAATTACGGAGAATCTTTAGAACAAGAAAACATGATCAGGTGGTGTTCTTAAAAGTTAAATGTATACAAAGTCATATACCTTTGTTGCACTGATTAACCTAGAGGTTTTGTCGTAAACTCTTTGGTAATAGCTGAAATTGATTTTAAAAAATAGTTTCAACTCGCTTGTAAATCAACAACCATGCAATTTCTTTGTGTCTGGAAATTCAAGTCTGGGTTATAAGTATATGAGGACATGAAAGCACATAAACACCCAAGTAATCAAATAGTGACAATAATGCCAGTCCGTCAACGCAACCTGAAATGACCTCTAAGTTGAATGTAGTATTTTTAAACCGTCAGTCATGTTATTTGACAGGTAATCTAATATCTATCAACTAAACACTACCCTTATTACTCAGACGTTCGGTCTTGAAACTCTGCCAAAGGCCATGCACTGGCAAATAAAAGAACGCCGTGACGTCAAAGGAAGATGTTTTTTTCTAGTTGGAAGCTATGGTTATTATTCAGTTTCTTCGTCTTTTATTGGTTTAACGCCACCGACATGTTCAACTATGTTTGGCATGACATCTGTGCGATATGATTCTCAACGCATGATTGTTTTAGATAATGGCAATTATTCAAAGATGAACCTATGTCACCACCTCAGACTACTTCTAAAGCCATTCCTGGACAAAACTGTATCTATGCTGTTTCTTGGTGCCGATGACAAAGGAAATATATGGTTGCCTCTGGACAGTGCCTCAGGCCACACTGCAAAAACACTCTAACTACCTCAAAAGTAGGAAAAATAACTTAATTAACCCAGACGCAGCACAAAGGGACTATGTAATCCAGGGTATTTGAAATGTCAGAGTGGTGGGGATTTTTTTTTTAATTCTATTAACGAAACATAATTCGTTTAAACGTTTTTAAATGATTTTGTACTGTCAATTATCATATATCAACCGTGTTTGCAATGATAAACCGGTTTTTACAGATCAAGTTAAAACTGAATTTTAGTTTATACATTTGAATAAGGTTTCGATATATTTTTAAAATTCCAGGAACATAACAATCTATAAATATACTGTTCCACAAATTATTTTGAACAATAATAGTTTCGCTTTATTTTTGATTATGTTTATGTGTGCTCAATATAGAATAAGACATACGATTTGAATTCTGACTGTCAAAAAAATTAAATGATATTAATTCTTGTGGAAAAATTTATAGTCATATTATATCCTATATTTTTAAATTGATTACTGCATATGCTGCAAACTTTTGTAGAAAATAATTTTTCAATGAGTTCATAGTTCTTCTTTTGATAATTCTTTTTATATTCCGGTTTAACATGTTGTTTACAGTGAACAGCTTCATTGAAACATCAGTCTTATAAATTGTACTCTTTAGAAGTGGAAAAGAATCGTATTTGCAATCTAGCTTCCCTCTTCTTTCTATAACTGACGTTCCGTCTGGAATTTAAAAAAAATATATAAAATATAGAAATTATGTAGAAGATACAAAATTTCTTCATACAAATTTTAGCGGGTTTTTTTGAAGTCTTTTTAGTAAAATTTAACAATCAATGGTTATAAATTGTGTAAAAATAATTATTACTAGTCGAGACAGTAGTGACTTCGATTGTTCAAGATTGATATTCACTAGAAATTTCTTGTGTACTTTGGTCTGTCGTTGACATGGAATCAGGCATAACTGTTAAGACAGGTGAACTGTATGATTTAGACGATGCAGACGAACTCGATATTGTTGTTGTACTTGTTAACGTCACTGGTTCTCAAGTGGTAAATAAACCAGAAGATGATGTTGTTGTATATATACTTTTTGACGCCAGATGTTCTTTTGTAGTAAATAGAACTGAAGAGGTAGTTGGCAATGTTGTTAATTCAGCGGATGTTGAGATTACTACTGATGTTTCCCTTCTATGTAACTCTGTTTCTAAACCATTGGCAGTCATATCTGCAATAATACAGAGATAATCAAATAGATAAAGTTAAAATACAAATAAACGGTAAAGCTTACGTAACAAAGAAACCAATGAAATTTAATAATAATAAAATAAATTATATAAAATAAAATAAATTAAATACATTAATTTACCTGTAATAATTTGTTAATATTGAGGAATTGGAAACAAACTTCTTCGCTGCATATTACCTGTGTCAAGGAAGGTAACTGTGACTTGCACTAAAAATTATTGGCTAAAGTCATCGCCGGTGTCTCTGGTACGGGCAGTCCGCTGTCAGTCACAGACGCCCTCTTAAAGAACGTAGTTCTATTTTTACTAGACATCACAGAAGTACGGCAGACCAGAACGTAATGCGAAACATTCAATACTTGTATTACTAGTAACAATGCTAGAGGCACGGAATATAATCAGGGACAATACATGACAAACACAGTGAACATATATCAAATAATTATCAAACTTTATTGACATATTTTTAGACAGACGGTTTCACTTAACAATAATTCAGAAAAATCGATACAGATATAAATGCATTCGTCGCACACTAAACGACGCAAAGTTTAGGACAGGACAGAAAATATCCGAATGACATCGGGTTTCCGGTTTCACAATTTTCGAGAAGACGCGAATTCTTGTTGACGCGAAATAATTATTTTGGACATTTTGCCTCAAATTCGCGAAATAAGGTTCTTGCGAAAAATAAGTGTTTACAGTATGCTAAATGTTTGTGAAAAACCATCTTAAATTAAATATGGCGTACGAAATATAGGTAGTGTTAAATCATTTGTTTAAACGTAAGCTATGTTTTCTAAATCAGATAAGTGAATGCAATAATGGCTATGTACTAACAACAAATGATTTTCTGAATATCTAAAACAAAGATGTTTAGTTTATCTTAACGATTTCCTGTTAAACTGTTCATTATGAATAACAAATCTTTTCTTTTTTGTAAAGGCAATTACTATTGATAGATACATACGAGGATTGATCAAAACGTTCTTGGCCTGATGTACTCAAAGAACCCAGCTTATGGTCTTACTTTTCAATATAATAGCCCTCTACATTAATGCACTTTGCCCACCTGTACTCCAACTTGTTTTGTTTAAGCCTTCAAAATAGATTTCTCTATTTTGGTCCACAAATAGTTCATTGACCGCATCCATGGCACCTTCATTGCTTCCAAAACGTCTACCACGAAGCTTGATTTTCAGTTTCGGAAACAGGTAGAAGTAACAGGGGGCCAAGTTCGAAGAATATTGGGGATGGGGAACAGTTTCAATACCGCAGTCAGTTGCAGCAGCTTTCGCAACTTAGGATGTTTGAGCTGGCGCATTGTCGTGCAGGAGCAGAACGCCTTGAGTAAGTTTGTCCCTCTTTTTCCGCGCGATTTCTTGACGCAGACATCTCATTTTGTTTGCATAGTAGTACCGTTTATAGTTCGACCTTGCTCAAGATAATCATGATTATCCCGTGACTATCCCAAAAAAAGGAAGCCATCATCTTCCCTGCTGATGGCATCTTCTGGAATTTCTTAGGAGGGATGAGCCAGGGTGCCTTTACTGCATGCTCTGTTTTTTAATTCTAGATCGAAGTGATGGATCCGTGTTTCATCCTGAGTTACGATCCGATAGATAAAATCAAGTTCATCCTCATAGCGAGACAAAATATATCTTGAAATGTCAAGTCTGGTTGTTTCTGGTCGTCAATCAACTGTATGGGGACCCATCTAGCGTAAACCTTTGACATGCCATAGACATAGGTCAGAATTGCCTGAACTGAAGCAACTGAACCAACGCTTATACCCACGTCCCTAGCAATGCTTCGCAGGTCTCGCTTTCTGTTGCACATGACCAGATCGTGCACAGCTTCGACAGTTTCATCGTTGGTGGCCTCTTTTGGCTGCCCCGACCGCTCATTGTCTCAAATTCTCTCCCTGTCCCTCTTAAATACATCAGTCCATGTTTTACAGAGCTATAGGAAGGTGACTCCTTCCCAAGTATATCCATGAGGTCTAAATGACACACACCTCTACTGATCAACGTGTGTCTTATATTACTTAATCTATTTAAAACCGCGTGCAGCTCGGTCAGTAATCTTCAATAAGATATCGGTATCGATTTACCGTGTGTCAATGTTAGTGTACTGGATAGAAGTATATGGGGTCGAGAACGTTTTGATCATACCTCGTATATTATAGCGTACAAAGTGCTAAAATATATTTGCTTTCATTTCAGGTATGCCTAAACATATCCTAGATAGCAGACACTCAATTTATTCACAGTGTTTATTAAATCATGTTTGTCCTTTGATTAACATAAAGTACGAGCGTATGTTTCGAACACCCTAATGAAGTAGTCAGTCTGTATAGTAGTCATAATTGTATTTAGGAAAATTCATCTTTGTCTTTCTTTCAGTCCGTCCTTTACTTCACTTTCTCCGATTAATCTCTTCTTTATTACTAATTAATCAGTAACCAATCATGACGACTTTCAATTCTCAGCCGAAACATTAACATAGCCTTTTTGTCCTGAACATTTTGTATATTAATCTTTATATGAGTACAGGTAATAATGTGTATCTATCTGAAACATGATAATTGTATTTCTTGTCAATTGTGTAGTTCGCTGATATTGATATATATACAAATGCATACTAGTGATATATTTGTGTTATGTTATAAATCGTTTATCACAGGACCGTATCTGTCGTGAAGCAGATGTATACGTTTTATATAACACCCGCTCTACCCAAAGCATGGTCTGCAACACATATATGTATTTTGTTTTTCAAATTGTCGACATGGGTATAAAATATTAACAATGACAATAATTTACATATGAACTCACTGAAGCAGTATTTAGCATCACGTCGTGATAGCCGACCGAATTCAAAAACATAGAAGTATTTACAATTTCTTACGCGAATTCTATTACGTATTGTACAGCATCCTTTACTGGTACTTCCACAAGCAATTACACCTTTGATCCCATCGTTCTGTCCAGGTAGGTGATCTTTGATAAGAAAGGTGTTGTGAATAGTCTTACATCTGATCATCAATCAAAATTTAACAAAATCACGGACACATGTTTACTTAAAGATATACTATGTTCATCTTTGCGTAAATTATTTGTATCACATAAATTTATTAAAATCTATGTAATTCTTACCGAATATGTCCAATTTGAAAAAAAAGAATGAATAAATTATGTATTGGAAGCTGCGTTCTATTATAGGTCAAGCTAAATTGTTCTTTTCTTAAAAAAAATCCAGTTTTTTTAATGACATTATATAGTTATATTGTAACCACCTAGATCTATAGTGTTTTAGAATTTTAAACACAACATATCTACTTTGTGTGCAGTTAAATTATGTTTATTTTATATTTACAAACAGATTGTGTAGCAATTATAAATATCTTAAAATATGATATTTGAGCATAGTGTATCTTTACAAAAAATAGTATTTACTGCTTGTTTTGAAACAAATAAAGCCAGGGTACACGATACACAAAATGCTCATATTTTAAACAAATAATTAATTTCATTCTTAATATGACAAATCAAACGCGTACTATTCCTTTTAAGAATGGTGGCAAAAGACGGCATAAGGTAATGACAGTCAATATTCTAGACAAAGACAATTATTTAAATATAATTTATTGAGAAAATAAATAATTTATTTGTTAAGTATATACCATTTATCCATATATTTGTAATTCCACCACACGAAGAAGAGCCTGGAATTTCCAATGCCACAGCATTGCCTATTAAAGTCCCATTTATTCTGTACCAAGAAGGTATAGAACTTTCTGGGAACGGTTTGCACGGCCCACTTCCACATGTACCATCTCGATCCATGTCGATCAATGTGTCATTGACTGTTTGGTATTCAATGCATGGATTCACTTCACTTTTAACATATCCTATTGGGAAATGAACTTATCCATTAATCTAATTGCTAAATGACCATCTAATATTCAATGACAAATAATTCGTTACAAAAAATAATGTTAATCCATGATATAACATGATAAATTCTTTTGACCTGCCGAGTTTGTCAAATTAAATGTATAATCATTCTTATACTAAATTATCATAAATGCCCTTGTCACCAAATAAAATATAAATTATAACACCAAATATATTTAAGAAGAACAATATTTTTGGTGTTTTTTCCTATAAACAAACACTTTTTTTAATACCGAGATTTTCAGCAGATATTTTTTAAAGAGTTTATTACATGTAGATTAATTTTATTTTATCAAATAATATGTTTAACTTTTCTTAAATTACCATACAAATATGCTAATATCCAAATGAAGTGCAACATTGTGGATAATTATGATGAAAGTTTCTTTATTCTTTTGATAAACATCAGAAGTTACTATTATCAAATATTATTTGTGCCAATATTTGATTGATAATATTCAAAGATTAAAGGTGATTTGACGTATGTTTCAAATAATTTCAAATAACAGTTAAGTTGTTTGCTTGATAAATTCGAAAGTTTATTCTTACTACATAATTTCAGATAATTTCTTTTATGTTTCAAAGCTTGTTATAGAAATATAAAACATATTAAATAATTGCGACTACCTTTCACTATATCTACTGATATGACTGATAATGAAAGTGTATATATAAATAGCTAAAAGACTCGTTTACTTCACTGACTTTTTTGTCAAATAGGCACACATATGACAAGTTTTTTTATATTGGACACTCGATTGTTCTTTACTATTGAAATATAAGATTTATTATCGGTTTCAAGAATTACATATTGCGTTGAAAATTTAATGTACAACTGAGGGGGTTACTTTGAACCCAGATACCCGAAGTTTTCCTTTAAAACATTTTTATTTTATGTTTATTTACATACTGAGAGATTTTTATATCAAACTAGATATGATAACATTTATTCATATATGTATTTATTTTAAAGAATTATTTGGTCTTGTTAGACATTTGTCAATCTTAATTTCCAAAATGCATGTGTTGTATGTCTTCATATTTGTTTTTCCAAATTTCCAATTTCGCCAATCTAATATCTAACAGAGTCATCTTACATGCCATGTAATTCTTTAAAATTGAAGTTTTGGGGTCGTCAATCTTTGATGCTGTATTATTTTTGTATTGTTGTTCTTATACTACTGATGGGTAAGCAGAATGTTGCTCAATTTACCATTCCTCAACCATCATGATTTTTGGTGTAATCTTGTTTTATTTTGTTTTTGTTTAAATGAAACAAAAAAACACAACAAACTATTCAATATTGTAATAAAGAACTATTTGCGGTTCAATTCATTTTATCTCGAATTATTCATTTATGTTTTAAACGAAAACATTGACTTTAGAGAAATGTTTAACTTTTTCTTTGCATGTTTGAGTTTAACTCATAACTTTATCCTTTTGAAAATTGGGCGTGCCTCATGTTTTAAGTAAATAACCTAATCCCTTAACCTGCGGGGAACTTCGGGAAAATGTTTTTTTTTAAAAAAAAGATGAAATTAAAAAATTGTTTTTTTAAAGTGTTTTTTTGTAACTTTTCCCTTTAAATTTTAATTTTTTTTTGTTTAAAAAATTTTTTTTTTTGGGGGTTAAAAAGGTTTTGGTTTTGGTTTTAACTGGTTTTGTTTGTTTCTAAAAATTTTTGTTTTTTTTTTTTTTTCTTTTTTTTTTGTTTGTTTTTTTTTTGGTCTTTTTTTAAAAAATGTTTTTTTTAATTTTTATTTTTTTTTTTTTTTAATTGGAAAAACTTTTTTTTTTTTGTTGTTTTTTTATGTGTTTTTTTTGTTTTAATTGTTCCCATTTGTTTTTTAAATAAATTTTCTTTTTTTTGTTTTTTTTTTTGGGGGTTTTTTTTATTTTTTTTTTTTGTCTTTTTTTTTTGTTGGGAAGAAAAAAAAATTTTTTTTTTTTTTAAAAAAAAAAAATTTTTGTTTTGTGTATTTTCCTTTTTGGTGTGGGGGTTTTTAAAAAAGTTTTTTTTTTATTGGTTGGGTTGGGGGGTTTTAAAAAGGGTTGTTTATTTAGTTTTTTGTTTTAATTTTTTTTTTATTTTTTTAATTGCCGTTAATGTTTTGGTGTGGGAAAGTTTTGTTGTTTTTTTTTTTTTTTAGGTTTGTTTTTTTGTTTTCAAAATTTTAACAATTTTAACTTTTACTCCTTAATTTTTATAATTTTTTTCTTTTAAAAATTATAAAAGTAAAAAAAAAAAACATAAAAAATTTTTACAGCACAAACGTTTGATATTTTTAAAACTGGTTTTTTTTTCGTTTCTTTCCCCATAAAGCTATATTTAAGTAATTCATAAAACAGGAATCATAAATATTTCGTCATTAATTAATTTTCATTGTTAAAAAACCGAAAAAACTTACATGAATAATTAAATTTTTTGGTATAAATTAATGAAAAAAAACAATATCATTTTATCAATCAGTTCCTAGTTAAATTTTAAATAATAAATTATAACAACTTACTATAAAATACTTTCCAACTCAATCTTTGTATATTTATTAAATCTTATCTTTTTTTATTTATTATTTTTAACATTTTATTTTCTACTTGTTTCTTCTTTTATTCTTTTTCTTATTTTGGTATGCATTTTAAAGTAATTTTTAAAAAAATGAATTTAAATACATGTGGAAAAAAAAATCATCAGTGGAAAGCAATTTAACCAAATTTTTTTTTTCTCTATTTTCTTTTCAGATAAGGTTAAGGCAGAGACTGGTCCATGCTCAACATATCAAAATGTATCGGACACAGATCTCCAAAATGATTTTTCTAATTCAGTGTGTTTTCCAAACTCTCCTGTACCAACCTGGTACAGATTTACAAGTAACGCAGCTGGCACGATGCATACTGATTGTAAATCAGCATCAACTTGTGGAGGGTCAGGCCAGGTTTGGATAGATGGTAAAATAGCCTATTACTTTATGAGTTTAGGAAGACACAATTATCCACATGAAAGAATATGCTATTTCCTCTGTGAAATAATGTTTTATAACTTTCGATTATTTTTGTTATGAAAATAAAGTTGTGATGAATTTGTAAGAATTTGTTGTACACGTAACAAAGCTAAAACAAGTGGCATTGTGTCTTCGTCACTATAATTTTCTCAAAACAAAATATTTCTGCCCAATAAAGCCATATTCTGAAAACTGCCAGAACGCAAAATAGAAACTATATCATTTTCGAAACTAAATATGATATATAGTTATATACTTTTAAAGATCAACAAAAGTGAGATAAGGTTTCAGATACGAGAATTATTTTCCAACCTTTCTAATCTTTAAGTTTATTTGACATATTTTCCATCCAACTTGAATATATTCCATTTTATAATTACAGGCACTCTTCCAACATACAATGATGGGACGACTCACGTAGCAATCTGCATAAAAATGGGTTCTTGTTGTAATCAGAGAAATATGATAGCAGTTAGAAACTGTAATACTTTCTTTGTTTTTGAACTGAGAAGGTTGGCTAGTTGTGACATACGATATTGCTTCAGTACGTCTTTTATTACCTTAGCGACAATTCATTGTCATAATTATAACTTTGATCGATGCAAAAAAGAATATGAATGAATAAGAGTAAGAAACATCTATCGTTTATATCTTAACTATTTTAATTTATTGCACAAAATACCAGCCTATTGATAGAATCAAGTTAAACCCAAGTTTTAGAATTGAATTTCACAAGTTTACATGGGTGATGATGTGATGAATCATGCACTTCTATTGTAACATTACTTTTGTGATAATAATTTCTAGTTAAAAACGATGTTCCTCTTGTAACCATTTTAATAACAACTAGTACATTATCTTCAACAGAATCTACATCAACAAGTTATACAACTGCAATGAAATCTACAATTTCCCCAGCCTTTGCCCCATCAACAAGTAACAAAACCACCAGAAAACCAACAACTTCAATTTCAACCAAAATGTTTACAGTTTCCACACCCGTTACCATATCTAAACCCACTTCATCACTGACAACATCAACATTTATAACATCGCTAACCACCACTTCTACTAAAGCTTCAATATCTTCTAGGCTATTGAGTAGTATACGACCTACAACCATTCCCTCTATGACAATCAACATACAAGTAACAACGCTTGTAATTGCTATATGTGCAAGTATTGGAACCCTAAATTTAGTTACAGTCATTTTTATAGTTTTATTTAGAGTATACAGGTAATCCTGCAATTACCCTTTTTTATAATAAAAACTTTATTTTAACAAGCAACATTATGCCTTTGACCATTTACCAAGTATAAAACTAATCAAATTTATTTTCATCAGTTTCTTTTGTTTGAATCACGTGTAAATGATGGCAGTTAAATTGATTTATCCTGCACTGGAGTTTTTAAGAGATATATTTTATTCGTTTGTATCTTCTTTGATTTGTTAATGCTTTTTCTAGATCAAAACTTCAGCAGATTCGACCTGATGATCATTAGTCTCTACCAGAATGTCATGACATGGCAAGAAATGTAAAATTTGATGCAGGGCATTTACAGTCAAGAACTCACATTTCAGCATAATGAGATCGAAAAAGAACCGATACGATGTAGGCAATAAATATTATTCTTATATCTTACAATTACCAAAATGTTTGTGTAAATTGTGAAAAGGAGAGTAGTATTCTGACTTACAAATTTGTAATACATTGTAAGAACATTTAGGTGTAAAAAGATACTTATCGACAGAGAACAAAATGACCATATCAATATAACAGAAAAGAATTGTGTTATTAAAAGAATTGTGTTAACAGAGTATTGTTATGAATATTCCATTAGAAACACTTTATCATAACTCATCTTTTCAACAATTAATGACACTGTGAGTTTGTGAAATGTTCTTCATTCATCTGGTAGGATTTGACAGCATTTATCTATTGTTATAAC